GGTCGATGAAATTATATTTTTTGGTATTTTTAAAGATATGGAATTTAACAATATATTTTTTCAAAACATAATTAATTATATCGTGCAGTAATTAAAGAAAACAGATATTTTAAAAAAATTTATAATGTATTTTTAATTCTGATAATTGCAATTCCATATAATTTTATAACAAGCTACTCACATTTAAGGATATTTGAATATCTCATGGCAAATGTAATTTTATTCGGATGGTTACATGTTTTCTATGTATACTGTATGCAAAATTATAACAATTATATTATTTATAATGCTTAAAATAAAAAAATATAGATTATTTATTATATTTAATAAACTAAATATTTTTAATATTATTTTTATTTTATAGTAAAAATATTATAAAAGATTATTTTTTGTAATTTTTTTTTTTTATTTGTTGGTTTTTTTTTATTTTAATAAATATTAAATATTTTATAACAATATAACAATGTAATAATTTATAGTTGTTAAGTTAAAAGATCAGCATGTGATGCTTCTTGCGGCTGGGAGGTGAGGGGCCCAGCCATAAAGTAGCATTGTTAATGCTGATCTTGCTTATGTTACACCATCTATAAGCAGGACAGCGGAAAAAAAAAATTATTTAGATAATATTCATATTAATCAAGAAAATAAATATTCAACTTTATATTTTTAATAAATATTTCATTATTTAAATTTAAATTATATTTAAAATTTTGAAATCAATCATCTTTGTGAGATGTACCAAAAACAATCAGTGTTGAATTTGGTGATAGCTTTAGCTATCAACAAATTCATAAGCGATTGGCATTTGGTACATCATAACAAAGTTTTTTTTTTTTCACATGAAAGGGAGGGAGGGAGAAAATTTTTAATAAAGAGTGTGGGAGCGCCATTTGCGTTCAGCAGCCGGCTAGAGCACAAAGAGGCGTTATCGAGCGCTTTGGATGGCTGACGAAGCGATCGATGAGATATTAGATATTTTATTATTTTTTTTTATATAAAGATGAAGTGAAAAATCAAATCAATCATCGAATCTTCTTCCATTAAAAAACAAAAAACTGAGAAGAAATTAAATTGTAAATCTAAAAATAGATTTTATTAAAATAAAAAATATAAAAATAAATATATACAACTAAAAATAGAATATACAAAAATAGAACAATATAAAATAAAAACTATTGTATAAGTTATTAATAAGCTAAATATTCTTTATTGTATTGTTCAATATCACTATATGAGAATAAATATTTAATACCGTATTTTTCACAATCGTAATTAATATTTTTAAACTATTCTACACAATCATTTTCATAACCTTTTCTTCTCCATTCTAGTAAGTCCATTGTATCGTTTATAATTCCAAATTTAAGTCCATCTTTATAGGTATAAAAGTAAAAGCGAATATGAGCTTCAAGATAACCTAAAAGATTTTGAAGCCTTTTGTTTTTTATATAATCATAGTTTTGTAATGAGCTTGAAACTATATTATTTCTAGTTAAGTAATCTTTAAAGTCTTCATATCTTGTGAAAACAATATACTCTTTTTCATATATTGCTTTAAAAACTTTAATTTCAAATTAGTTTTCACTTTCAATTGATAAAGAGGAGATTGAAAATTTTTTTTCTTTGTTAGTCGAAAATGACAATTGATTTTCATGAAATGGTTTTTTATCACCACAATTCCAAGTATCTCCAACTTCTTTTTGTTGTTTTTTAAAGAATTTATTGAAAAGTTTCTTGATAAAATTCATTTTTGTAAAGTAATAAATTTGTAATGAATTAAATAAAATAACTTTAAATATTTGTTTATATTTAAATTAAATTTATCTAAAAAAAGAAATAAAAATTGAATTTTAATTGGTGAAGATAAAGAATTTCAAATAACTTCTTTTTTCAATAAATTAAAGATTCTATTTGAATTTTAATTAAATATCGTTCAATTAATAAGTATTGATAAATAAATAAAAATAAACACATAAAAATCAAAGTATATTGATTAAGAAAAATATTTTTAATATAATTTTTAATTAAATTAATATTAAAATAAACTTCGACTGTTGATTCTTCAGTTATAAAGTCGACAATAAATAATCCAATAATAACAAAAAAAGTAAAAACTAAATTTAATAATGAATACATTTTGTAATAATCAAATTGTTGTTTTGTAAATAAATTTTGTAAATGTGTTGAGAATTTTTAGTAAAAAAGAATTTTGTTTGAAAAATTCGCTTCAACAACAATAAATTTTTATCGTTTTTAAATTATTTTGATATGCGCAATATGCCGTAATTTTTTTAAAGTTTTGATAATGGCTTCAAATTTTATTGGTTCTATTAATTATTTCCTAATTAGAAAATATATAGACTACTTTAATTTTATAATAATCATATATAAAAAATAAAGTTTTTTATATATATTAGTATAAAAATATTATAAAATTTATATTATATTATAAATTTAAATAGCATATATATTTTATTATAAAATATATATTAATTATTTTAATTTTAAATTACCAAACATAAATAAAAATTTTTTATATTATATTATAAAATTATTAACATGTAAAGATGTAGAATACATTTTTGCAAAAATCTAAATACTTGGAAGTTTTTATAAAATATCATTAATTATTTTGCTACGGCTTAGAAGTATTTATTTTTACTATTCACTATTTAGTTGTTTTTTTATTATAATATTTGCACTGTATAGTGTTACAGTGCAAATAAAGGGATAATTTTTTTTTTATTTGAATTCTATGAATTTATAGAATTTAAATAAAAAATAATTCATCAAATTTGGTCTTGTGGTGATGAAGATATTCTTGCTCAAAGTTGAAGAAAAATCAAAATGTCTATCTAAATTAAAGCTGCATCAATTTTTTTAAAAAATTTGAGTGAAGCTATCTCACAACCACTGGACCAAATTTAATAATTTTTTTATATTTGAATTCTATGTATCCCATAGAATTTAAATAAAAAAAATTCATTGGATTTGGTCTGGTGGTAGTGGATATATCTTCGCTCAAAGTTAAAAAAAAACAAAACACCTAACAAAATTAAAGCTGT